CGTTACAGGTGCGTTACACATGGGGTGCTTAAGCCTCCCTCTAGAATGATCCTCAACCGCCTAACCGGAGGCTAAAGGTGCTGACTTACAGCTACACTAGAGAAGACATGGGGGGTAGGTTGAGGTTAGTGACCCTTGACCACTTTCGCCACTGCTAGGGGTAACATCCTGGCCTCACTGAAGTCAACAGGGGGTTTTGCCATTGAATCTGATGGGACCAGGATTTCACCCTTGGTGTATGGTATAAATTCTGTAACCTGATTCTGTAATCTAAATTCTGACGGACTTTGTAACCTCCTCAGCAGCATAAAGGAGACACTGACACGCATTGAAATGCTTCTGTGCAACAGTCACAAGATAACAACAAAAGACAGGACTATGCAGCACTTTAAAGACTAACAAGATGGTTTATTAGGTGATGAGCTTTCATGGGCCAGACCCACTTCCTCAGATCAAATTGTGGAAGAAAATTGACATGGCCATATATACCAAAGGGATACAATCCAAAAAAAGTGAACACATATAAAATTGACAAATCAGATTTTAGAACAGGGGGGAGTGTAGGGAGGAGGTTAGTGACTATGAGATAATGATGTTAGGGGTGATAACTGGGGAAGCTATCTTTGTAATGGGTAAGGTAGTTAGCATCTTTGTTAAGGCCCATTTGTAAAGTGTCAGACCAGACTAACACGGCTACATCTCTATTAGTAGGATAACAACAGGCATCTGCTACAGGGCCAATTGGTGATTTGAATGAGGAGGGCGCAAAGGAAAGTGGAATCTTCCCGCCTTCCTCTCCCCCCACCACTAATTCAAAACTGACTTTGTCCTTGCACCAAAATTTTGCCTGTTAGTCCTGAAGCAGGCCATGGCCACATATTACAGGTGCGTCTAGACTGGTAAGACTTGCCAGCTGTCTACACTGGCCGCTTGAATTTGCGCAAGAGTACTGACTTTGTAGTGTACAAAATCAGTGCTTCTTGCACAAATACTTTCACGCTCCCGCTCGGGAAAAAGCCCTCTTGCGCAAGAGGGCTTTTTCCCGAGCGGGAGCGTGAAAGTATTTGTGCAAGAAGCACTGATTTTGTACACTACAAAGTCAGTACTCTTGCGCAAATTCAAGCGGCCAGTGTAGACAGCTGGCAAGTCTTACCAGTCTAGACGCAGCCTACAAGTGTGGGCAGGGTCTCTAGAAACCTATTTTAGGGCCACTGTGGCCAGCCCATGCCCCATATCCTGAGGGGGATATGCACCATGCACCACAAATTATTTTTGCTGACCCCCAACGTTCCAAGACGACAAGGAGGGCTTTGTGGCTATGCCCAACGTTTTCCAAAAGTTTTGCTGCTGGTATCAGCACTTTCTGGTGCCATCTGTTCCCAGACCAAACAGCCATTAAAGACAGCGCCTTGGGTGATTCATATGCGTTAACGTCGGGGAACTTTCAGAGTGGGCTATTGCCTCGGCCGACAGAGTAATTGGGGAAATTAATCTAAATTCATTTTTATGATTTCATTAAACAAATAGCTTTTTAAACAATGCCTTTCCGCTACCTCGCTCTTCAATCATGCCTTCCTCTTCCCAGCTGGATTGCAAATGTAACGCAGGACCTTTCCCTTTGCCAGTAATGGATATTAAATAACCAGATTTCAAGACAGCATTACCCTCAGGTGGTTCAGTCACTTTAAATACATATTTCCATAAACAGTGTGTGAGTTAAGCAGGCAGGAGGCTGCCCAGTTGATGCTCAGGAGACAGACAATGTGTTTATAAACACAATGCTAAAAAAGCAATAGGCTTAAGTGCCAGCTGACTGTTCCATGCCCCGCCACGGAACAGCACCACCCTGGAATGGCAGGAGTGCTACCACAACCAACAGGGGCAGGAGGGGCAGCTACTTGGATTTTTTCCTATGCTGCATCTTTATCATCTTGCCCAGCAGCTTATGGCAAAGGAAAGAACAGCCTACGTAGGATGTGGAGTTAGTTCCTGGGCAGCGCCTGTGGTGACAGTATCTCTTCATGGAATGCCATCAGAACCACAGGCTACGTCTACATTGGCATGATCTTGTGCAAATACTCTTTAACACAAGAGTTCTTGCATTAAAGTATTTGTGCAAGAGAGCATCTACACCGGCATGTGCCTTTGCGCAAGAGATGTGCTTTTGTGCAAGAGCATCCGTGCCAGTGTAGACGCTCTCTTGCGCAAGAAAGCTCTGATGGCCATTTTAATCATCGGGCTTTCTTGCGCAAGAAAGCCATGTTGCCTGTCTACACTGGCCTATTGCGCAAGAACAGTTGCACAAGAGGGCTTATTCCTGAGCAGGAGCATCATAGTTCTTGCGCAAGAAGCACTGATTTCACACATTAGAACCTCAGTGTTCTTGCGCAAGAACTCCTCGCCAGTGTAGACAGGCAGCATGTTTTTGCGCAAAAGCGGACGCTTTGGTGCAAAATCACGCCACTGTAGACACGGCCAGAGAGTCTTCCCGAGGCTGAAAGCATGGGCTGCTAGAGAACACAGCCCTCTTCTACATGCCGCCAAATGGCAGGGGAAATATAACAGCTTCCTCACTTCGCAGATGAGGAAACAGAGGCACAGTGAGGTTCTGACTGCCAGGAGCACCGAGAAAGAGCAGCCAGCAATCCCGACCTGCTCTAGCTTGTCTCCCGGACTAGAGAAGTGGCATTATCCAGTCTACATCCCAAAACACAGCTGAGTCAGGGGACCAGACTGCACCACCATGACTATGTACAGCATCATGCACGGATGGGACTTTCCACTGATGTGACTGGCCCGTGTAACCCGGCTAAAGCTCAGACAGGGCCCCAAGTATTAGCCAGCTTCCAGAGCAGGGCCAAGGCTCTACCTACAGTACAGTGGATGTGGTGTAACTGGGCAAGGGCACCTGGCAGACAGACTCTTAAAATAAAGAATATTCCTCACCACATTCTAGACTTGTATTGGCCTCTGTTGCTTTCAGTGTTCGCTGTAAACTGAACATTTGAGCAGCCACGCAAGGGAGATTCAGATGCCACCCAGCTGATTAGCCAAGTGCCCACCACTGCTAGTATATATTTCTACTGGTGGTGCACATCTGCACATGCCTGGGTGCATATTACATTTAGTCTGCACATGGATAGAAAAATTAGAGGGTGCACTGGTGGCTTTATACTGTTTCACTAAAGCTAAGCTGTGACACAAGCCAGCAGCACAGGGCACTAACAGAGGCTAGTCAAGTGCTGTCTTTAAGCTCTTCTGTTCTCTCCCATCAAAAGCGTGAGAGGAAAGGCAGCTGCATCAGCTTTGCATTGCCTGATTTCTTATCCACCACACAGGACCATGACAAAGGAAACTAAACTTCGCATACCAGTAACTTCTCTTACCATCCTCCGCGCCACTTTTTAACTGAGGAGCAAGGATAGGGCAACTCTCTAGTGCCATGGTCACCAACCCATCGATCGCCTGGTCAATCACGAGGCCTCAACCAGTCGATTGCAAGGCCTTCCGGGCCCTCCATTTCTTCTTCACCCCCAAGAACCCTCACTCCCTGTCTCCAGCGACAATGGAGATAGTGGCAGCTTCCCATGGGGTGGACGGAAGTCCTGCAGCTGCACGTCACTTCCAGGGGTTCGGGAAATGCGCTGGTGGAATGCCAGGTCTGTGGCATGCCAGGAACTTACCGGGGGAGTAGCCAGAGGCACGCGCTGGGACTTGCCTTCTCTGTTTGGGGGGGGGGGGGGAGAGAGAAGAGAGTCAGGCCGGAGGGGGCGCGCAACCAGGGCTTTCCTGCTCTGCGGGAGGATCACGCAGGCCTCAGAGGAGGCACGCGACAGGACTTCTTACTCTGCGGGGGGGTGCGCTGGTCCCGGGGGGCGGGGGGCATGTGCACTGGCTTCCCTGCTCCGTGGGAGGGGGAGTCAGGCCTGGAGGGGACACGTGACAAGGGCTTCCCTGCTCTGTGGGGGGCATGCGCCAGCCCTGGGGGAGGGGGGCGCATGACAGGACTTCCCTTTTCCGCGAGCAGGCAGGAGGCAGAGGAGGTCCTGGGAGGAGGCAGGTGCAGGGGACACTCTGCCTGCACTGGCACCCTGTCCCCTGCCCCAGCACCCACTAGCACCATGTCCCCTGCTCCCAACAGCACAGTTGGGGCCACATTAGTGAGGCTTGAGGGGTTTTTGGAGGAGGGTTTTTTTTTCCCCCTGGCATCTCACTTGTGTGGCCCCAACTGATTTTTCTGTGGGTCAGTGACTGACTCAAAACAGGTTCCCTGCCCTTCTCATAAATGAAGACAATGCAGAAATTGTGTGTTAGACATAGTATTTTATTTAAAAAATGAAGCCTGGCCCACAAACCCCCAGTTGGGGCCAAGCCCCCATCTGGCTGCAGCATCATAACACTCCAGCACACACACACCTAGACCCTAGAACTGAGCCTATCATATACTGGAACACCCTGCCCTGAGCCCCGCACATACCCCAACCCAAATTTCTGCACCCTCATATCCAGAAGTCTGTGGCTTGCTTAGTACCCCAACACTGCCTGGCCTGGAGCCTCCTTCCCGAGCCAGTGTCCCCTTCTCCACCTCCTCCTGCATCCAGATTTCCTCCTACAGCTTGCACACCTCAACCCTTCCCACACCCAGATCCCTCATTCCCACCGCAGAGCCTACACATCCTGTCTCAACCTAGTGAGGGTACAGCTAGACTGCAGTTTTTCAGGATTCCAGAGATAACCCAGAAAAAGTCTTCTGCATCCAGGGATGCATTTGTTCTTCCACTTTTTAGTGGAAGAGCAAACATGATCTTTTGGTCACCCTATATGGCTCTTTCCACGAGGAATAAGGGGGCTTCCAAAAGAAAGGATTTCTGACATTTGGTCCAGTCTAGACAGGTCAAATGTTGGAAAAACCTCATCCTACAGAAGAACTGGGGGGGGGGAGCAGCAGTGTAAGAGTTGGGGACAGCAAGTGATGGAAAGGAGTATAGAGAGGGCGGGGCAGGGCTTCAAGGAAGGGGTGGGGTCTTGGGGGAAGGATGGGGCAGTGGATCTTGGCTTGTTCTGTCATTTAAAAAGTGATCTTGGGTGTAAAAAGGTTGGAGACCACTGCTCTAGTGATGTTCACCATTGCCACCTGCTGGGCAAACATTTCAAACATAGCAGCAGGATTTCTTAGTGCTCATATCATGCATAGTTGGGAATAGCACTGCAGTGAGGCAGCTGAAACATGAACAGAATGGGAGGGTTGAAAGGAACCTGGAGAGGTCATCAAGTCCAGCCCCTATAATACCACAGAATCAAGTGAATCTACACCATTCCTGACAGCAACATTCCTTCTAATCTCTTCCATCCATGTGAGAAATAAATTACGTGCACCAAGGCATGTGCGAATGTGCACCACCCGGCGAGAGACAAACTAAGCCGTGGGCACTCAATGAATCAGCTGGATGGCTTTAGAATCTCTCTCGAGTGGCCACACAAGCTCACAATAAACACTGCCTGACAGGTGTTGGTCCCAGCTGTTCTTCAACTTCAGAGATAGGAATTCCACAACCCTTTGAAGTGCAGCACTCATCTCTGTGCAGCTCAGGGCTTGAAAAACGTGGGGGCGGAAAGCAGCGGACTGGACATCATTTCAGACGGAAGGATGCTGCCTCCTCACACACAGGAAAAATCTGTGAATCATCTCTCAGACTGGCCATTTCTGCAGGAGAATGGAACCTCTGCAGAAATCAAGTAGAAATAAAAGGCGGCTAAATACGCCGCTTGCTCTTTCAGGCCAGGCAGCACCACTCCAAACGCAGGCTGTCACTCAGCCCCAGAAAGTGACACTGCTGCACTTCTTAGGTGTTAGTGTTGGCTCCACAGCACCACCTAATGGACAGAGCGCAAGTGGGAAATAAAGTTTACCAGGCATGTTTCATTGCCCTGGTCACTAGTCATCTGAGGAAGTGGGTCTTGCCCACGAAAGCTCTACATGTTTTGTAGGTCTTTAAGATGCTACTAGACTATTGGTTGCTTTTTTAAGTTTTTCCAGTTACAGACTAACTCTGCCACCCCTCTGAAGCTTGTGGTCACTAGAGATGAAAGAGCAGCGTGAGGACAAGGGGAAAGAGCCAGCTCTCCACCTTGCAATGAATTAACTTGGTCAGGGACAGATGATGTGCAGCCAGCTTAGGAACAGGCAGTTCAAAGGCACTGCGAACAGGAGAGGAATTGACATAATCTTCAATAAAAGTCCTTCATCTGCCTGAACTATTAAAATCTAGATCTTGACCTCTTGTGTGCCCTTAATAGTCCTATGGCACTTCCCACCAGGGCCATCTAAGTAATAGCATTCTGCCTGCCTAAAATCTCCCTCCAATATTTGTCCCTTCCTAAAACCTGGCCTGGAGACCTGTTGGTACAGAACTGACTATTGCAACCCATCCAACATGTAAGTGTGTATTCCTCATGCCATGTACACAGCCAGCAAAGCGCTTTAGGATTAACATTCAAGGTGAATTCTGTTGATGGGAGAAGCAAAAAAGCATTTACCACCACCCACTACAAGCAAGCAAGGTCCAGCCCATCACATCACGATGCGGGCAAATACATCACTCAGAATGCATTGTAATAGTTTCCTCTACTCTTAGGTTTCTGCATGCCCAGGCCCAAAGCAGGGCAGAACAATTCCATTCCCTTGTAGTCGACAGCATTACCAAAAAAAGCTTAATCACCTTTCCAAATCCAGAGTCCACGTAATCTCCAGCTCAGAGTTTAACATTACAAATGCATCATCCTTACGACATAACACGAGTCACGTCGCACAAACAGCTGTTCAGCAAGCTTTATTGCTCATTTGCATAGATGTTTCCAGCAGTCATCGCATTTCCTGAGTTTCTTAATGAGTTTGCAAATGAGATTTTAAAAGAGATGAGGCCCAGATCTGTCTCGTCTACAACCGGACTAAATGCTGAGCATGGAAATACAATCTGGAACCTCCCAGCAGACAGGTGTCCACGACGCAACAAAACAGCGCCCAAACTGACAATGTCAGCAAAGGGACCAAGGGTTGCATAAGGACAGAGATTTAACTCCCCAAACACCAGAGACCTGGTGGATGGTAGACATTTACCTGGTGGGGGAGGGGGAACTCTGCAGATGTGGTCATTAAAACATGTGTTCACATAGAAAAGGGATCTGAACAGTTTACATGCGACACAGATACAGTCACAGCCAGACAGGTAGCCCTTATAGCTCTACTTCTTCTGTCACTAAAAGAGAGGACATTAGTCTCTAGGGGCTCACAGTTTATCAGCAAAATCTGGAGTCATTTAAAACATGATAGATGTGATCAAAGAGTGTTTAACAATCTTCAAAATACACAGTCTACCAAATAAAGTAGACAGCCAAGAGGCTACCACTAGTCCCAATCAGGACTGGCTGTAGCTTCTAAGTACCAGTACACGGATGATTCAGGGACAAGTCAATTATATATTTATCAATTCCCCCTGCTCCACAGGCTAAAATAAAACAGAATCAGTCCAGTCCAGTGTAGGGTCCCTCCATGAAGTGCTGATCGGGACTCTCCAAGGTTTATTGACCCAGGCTGCCTAGTAAAGTTGGCAACAGACAGAAAGCAACACTCGCTCAGTGGGTGAGAACCACTGCCCTGCATTTATCAGCTTCACGGCTAGCTGCAACCCTAGGCCGGCCCGCCAGCTCCTAGATGAACGCAGACACAGATTAAAAGGTTGGAGTTTTAAACTGTAGCTCCCCCTTCATCTTCCTCTTCTTGAAAGGGTTTATTTAAAAGGGATTTAAAAGAGAAAATAACTTGCTCAGACTGTGACAGGTTACAAAGGAATCAAGCCATTTGGCTTCAGGCTGTTGGTGTAAATGGAAAGGGGACGGTTGCCTGTTTTCTCTCACTGGCTTTACAGGTGCCGTAAAACTTCTCTAATGGTCAAAGGAGATCAGCAAGCCAGGGCCTCTCCCCCTACACGGCATCTGGTCCAACCAAACGTTTATGCCCAAGTGACCCAGTCTATAGCAAGTTTCCAGGTTCTGCAGCGACCACCTATAAGACTGGTTCAGGAAGGGAAGGTGGCTGGAGTCAGTAATACATGGCCTTGTGTAAACTTGTATCTGCTTTGAGACTCCAGAGTCTGTTCCAGCTCAGTACCCGAAAGGTCCCTAGGCCTAGGCCACCACCTTCTCCCATGCATCCAAGCACAGCAATCAGGTCTGACTGTGCCCTTTCTCCATGGCAGACACTCCCAGCAGCAAGTGGGACTTGCTGAGGAAATGCAAAGGATACACCATGGATATGTCACTTTCCTCACACCCAGGGAGCTGTGCACAGGCCTCGTCAGTGACCGATCAACTGCAGCATCTCCTGAAGATCCACTATCTTCTCCCGAGGTTTGCCAGCCAACTTGCCTCTTGCCACTTCAGCAGCATCTATCTTCTCCCAGTCGGAGAAGGTGACCGGATGGACCCCTGGTGTGACAGCAAGAGAAAGTGCAGGCCCATCTTTCACAAATGAACGAGAACGAAACATGTAAGCACACAGAAAACCCAGAACCCTGCAAACGCAGGCGCCTCCAGAACTCTGCAGGAGGGCAGATTGCAGATAGCCAGTCAACTTTGCCTGATCAGACACACTTGAGAGTCACAACATTCAGTGCAGCACTTGCTTCAGGGAAACGGCTTTGGTTCAGTTAAAGTTTTGAATTGTTGGAGGGAAGCTCAATTTAACTGAAAGCATTTAAATACAGCAGCTACAAATGACCCTCCTGGGTGTTTTAATGTGTCCCCAAACGTGCCTGGAAGGATTTTCTATGAAAGCCATTCAAAAGCTGACATGACACTGCAGTTTTTAAATGGCCCTTGCCTAGCCCCTGCCGTGCAGTCTTGAAGGCACCTTAATAATTGCATTTCAATTGGGAGAATTGCAGTCCCCCACCAGAAAGGTGGTTTTTTCCATAACAAAAAGTGCGGTTGGATGCTCATCTTGCTACACACTCTGCTCCCCACAGCCTGTGCAAACCACTGGCAAGAGGGGCTAAGAGTATGGTTTGCAGTTAGATTGAGGCAAGATACAAAAATTAAAGGCTAGAAGCCCTCATGCTTCAGGGCATAAGTTAACCACTAAATCAGAGTGTTAGGAAGAAAATTTCCATCCAGAGAGGCTGTTCCATAACTGTCCACTAGGGAATTATTTGCACCACTTGGTGTTTGCTGACTCTGCTAATTCCTGAGAGCCTATAAGTGCAGAGTTCAAGGAGAGATTCATCACAGGGAAGGCTCTGAGAACAGGCTGCCTCCAGGGGTGAACCGGGTAGAAATGTCTCTCTAAATCAGGGACTTAAATATGGATCAGATTAGTAGAAAGCAAGAGCTATTGAGTATCATCTGTTAAATGAGCTTGATCACAGACGACAGAGCCCTTGTGTTCACACTACAGAATCTACCAGCATGACCGGCACCCTCGTGGCTACCTCAGCAGCAGTACCAAGGGCTTAGCTGCCCATGGAAATATCGTCTCTTACGTTCTTGGAGGTGGTTCTTCCAGGTTAGGACTGAGGCATTGTGGGAGTGCAGCTCTGGTGGGCAGGCCCAACAACAAGGGGAGCAAAGGGGGAAATTGCACAGAGGCCTGGTGGAGTTAAGCAGCAGCCCTGACTTGGTCCTTTTAAATAGCGGTGCTGTAGCAGCAAGGCAGCAGCTGTGGTGAAACCCGGAGCTCAGTTTTGCAGAACAGCAGGGCAGAAAGTGGGCCCAGAGCTCCCTGCCCCTTTAAGCCTTGCACTAAAATCAGCAGGCAGCACGGGGTGGAAAGCAGGAGATCTCTGTCACTTAAAACCCCCATGCAGGTCCACAGTGCGGCAGGGCAGTGGAAATGAGGCAGAGTGAATGGGTAGGGAAGAGCTGGCTGAGAAGAAGGAAGCTGAGCTCTAGGGTTAGAGCCAGGCCTGGGACTACAGGGAGTGAGGATGGGCGGGAGGGGGGGGGGGGGGGGGCCATGCAGAAGAACCGGGCTGAGAAGGCAAAAGAGCAGAGGGGTGCAAGCATGGGTAGGCAGGGACATCTGGGAGAAAAGCTGAGGGACGGGCGCACAGGACTTCTGGGGGGGAGGGAGGCAGAGCAAGGAAGGAGGGGGGAAGGGCACCTCCAGGCAGGTGGGGGGATGACGCAGCGACCCACTAGAGCATGGGTTCCCAAACTGGGGGACGTGAAGAAATTCCAGGGGGGCGCGAGGTGACCCAGCCTCCCCCCCCCCAATCAAGTTTTGCTGCCCTGTTCCGTTCTTTTTTTGCTCAACAAGTTTTGCTGCTTTAGGGGGCGGGTGCATGAGGGTTTTTCAAAAATGAAAAAGGGGGGCGTGATGCCAAAAAGTTTGGGAACCACTGTACTAGAGGGTCTCCTAGTTGAGGGCTGGGGCTCAGGGTTTCTCTGGGTAGGGGAGGGGAGCCTTGGCTTGTGACTCCTTCTGAGAGGGCTCAGAATTCCTGCCTGTCCTTGAACAGAGCAGCGGGTAACCATCTCAGACCCTGGACAGCCGCCTGTCACTAATACGTTCACAGTAACCACTCAAAAGCTTTGTATACAAGGTTCCACATGATAACATTAAGAGACTAGGCAGAGCAGAGGTGCCCAAAATAGCACTCGGTCTCTCTCTATTCAGCACTCCACCTTATTGCTGCTTTGGTGAGTTCGTGGCAAACTAATCCAAAGTAGGGATGTGAATGGTTAACTGGTAAGCCTCACCCTCAACAGGTGGGACTTACTGGTTCTGGTTAATCGGTGGGGGCTGGGGCAGCAGGCCAGAT